AGAGAGAGAGAGAGAGAGAGAGAGAGAGAGAGAGAGAGAGAGAGAGAGAAAATATGTGTGAAAGAGTTACTCAGATAAAAACATAGATTGAAAGGGAAAGAACGAGAAGTAAGATGTTAAAATCTGACGAAAATGCAAATTTCGGGGAACGAATATAGTTTAAGGAGGCACCAAAAAAGAAAAACTGATTAACTCCGTAGGACAAACAATTTAACCGTGATCACAATTTACCGAGTCAACAAATTTAGGAAACAGCGACGAATGCACTTCTTGGTGTACAATATGAATATTAATGCAGATAATAGCTATACATATTACTATATCAATTGTCAGTGGTATTACAATAAGAGATGATAATTTTATATTTACAAGATAGAAAATCGTTAAATCTAAATGAGTGTAATATACGTCTGTACTATGAAAAAAGAACACACATCCACATATGCATACAAATACTATCCACTCGCAGACACCTTTTACGCCCACCACCCACACCCCTCCCCCACTCTTCACGATCCCCAAAATTCCGTGCTAGGACAAAAACTAGGAAAGCTAGCTTATTTAATATTTGGCATAATATTTATATATGTATATAATATATTATATTATATAAGCCGTATAATATAATATTATTATGTATTATATATACGACTATAAATATGATTATAAATATGAATATAAATGCAAATATAAATATATATATATATAAATTTAAATATAAATTTATATGTATATATATATGAAAGATAGAGCATAAAGTAAACAAAAAAAAAATGGGATAGGCTCGGTGCGGCAATATTTGCATAACCGAGAAAAAGTATGAAGCTATGTGATCCACTACTACTAGTAGCTTTTAGCTGTAAAGACTTATACTTTATTTTGTAAATTTTGTTTATACAATGTTTGATCGTTCACGCATAATACTATTGTATGTGAAAATAAGTTAATAAATCATTAACATGTGAAGTTACGCAGTGTGGAATTTCTTGTGACACCCCCCGAGACCCGAGACATACAAAGATATAGCTAAAAAGTCGAAAAACTATTTAAAATAGCAATAGAACCAAGCACTTTAATTAAGTAAATATATAACTCGAGTATAAATATATACTCGAAAGGGCAGCTGCTGGATTATCAGTGTTCAACAATGCTCACCACTGATCAACAGTGGGGTCAGTTGTGGTCGGCTGGTGCTATGTTAGCGGGAGGAGAGCTGGGAGCAGAGTATGCAATGATGACCAGAGTTAGGTCTGAAATCAGGTGATCCATCCCGTCGGAAAGCTCCTGGGACTGAAAGTTTCCAGCCGCGGCGGTTTTATCTATGCTTTCGAGCCAAAACAATAGCGTGACATTCACGGATTGACAGTTAATACGAGTCTGTTCGATCTATCAAAAAATTATTTTGCAAAACTTTAATATTACAACGACTGTCATTCGCGAGGTTGGTTTAAATGATTGACGTTCTTTACTGGTTACTTTGTCTAATTTCTGAAGTGAATTGCTTAAAAATGATAATTAATATAAATCGAGACGTAGAGAAATTTGTAAAGATGGAAATCATGAGAGGACTAATTTAATGGTTATAAATTGTGAAAATAATTTGAAAATTATAAACCTGATTTCTTGAAAATATGACAACAAATTGATTGTACATTGTAAATGCTTTGCAAAACTAAATGAGAAAGTCAAACAAATTTTTCATTGTATTTTTCATTGTATTTTTTAATTCATCTTCATTATTTTCATTGTATTTCTTTTGTCCGGCAATTTCCATTGTATGATCTATATAAAATAATGGAAAATTCATGGAAATTTAATTTTCGACGTAAAATACATGAGGCATAATAAATCTTTTGTATTGCACATGAATTTATGGAACTTTATAAAGTTTAACTACATACAAAGCTTTGGTATACCCGATTGAATAAATCCCTAGTAACATAATCCCATTTTCTGTCTTCCTTCTCTTGATATGATTCCAAATCATAAAACAGAAAAAAAATTAAATTTCGGTCTTTTTTTTCATTACTTTCCTATTAAATTACATGACATTAAAGTAGATTGCGAGAACAGACAGGACTTGAAAAATTTGTGCAAAATGCAAGGGTAGCCATTACTTCTTGATTAAATATTCCAGGTTCATTTATCATCGCATTGCTAAAATTTTCTAATTTATTAAACATGGCGTTGAAAGAATGGATGGAACGTATTGTCAGGGTACTTTCTAAGATTACCAGGATGCGAAGAATGTTAAAAAGTTCTTGAAGCTATTTGTCTTACAATTAATTCCTAAAAGTGCTACTATCTCACTTCATTCTAAATCGATAATGTTAAGACGTAAGACGAGGAAGGAAAGGGAGGTTTAAAACTATTAATTTGAAAGTTTCCATAGAAAGTTTCATCAAATGTCAGGTCTATATTATTGGACATCTCTGCATTTATCGGTTCTCTATAACTTCATCGATAAGTGCTATGCAACCTTGCAGTCAAGGTGTTAGATGGCAGGTCGATCTCAATATCACCGCAAGTACTTATTTATACATACTTGATGTCTATTAAGAATCTCAATATGGATTAGTATAACAGTAATGCCAAGAATGTTAAACTGTACGTATAATTAATGTCCATACCATAGTACTGCCAGTAAAGAATTCGTCTTAAAGTAGACAGATACACCTCTGACACTATGTATAATAATAAATGCTTTCGTTAAATAGCTGATACATCGAGTACAGATGAGCTTTTAAAATATTTTACACCAGTGATAAATAAACTTATTGAACGACCTAATAGAACGTCTCTTTCGTGTTCGCGATAGGAAAACTGTTCACCAATCACGGAAAGTAGGCAGTCTTTCTGCTATTCATCGAGAGGCACTTATGACAATTTTTTCAAGGATGTTGGCGCAACTGATGTCCCGTCGTTCGAGTACACCTGGATACCCCGGTATTATCCAGTAGCGCAGGGATGTGCGTACGTTACGAACGATCGATAACTCGCTCATCCGTCGCTAAAAGGGTTAATGATGCCTGGCGTGCATAAATGGCGCTCACGGACCCGGACAAATGAAACGTAATGAGCGGATCGGCAGTACATAGCGGCGTGTCACGATCGCGAAACTCGTAATAATGCCGTGCCGTGATCGTGAATTTGCGCGTGCCACACCGTGGAACGCGTGAATTCGAACAATACGATTAGCGGGACCATCGACTCACTACGACCTCGTATCGGTTTGATTCGAGCTACTGGCTCGGAACCCTTTTTTCCGCCTCCGCTATTTACGCGAAACGAAAGCGACTCGTTTGTTACGGAATCCCTGTGTAACGACCGTGTTTTGTGGAAATATACTTTCTCGAAGGTCTGGAGGTAACGAGCGTGCTCGAAACAGACAGTCAAATTGCTCCGAGATGAGTTCCTCTTTGGGATATGAAAATCCAGACCTTTTCTTCTGCAGAATATTTAAATGTATCTTAAAGTCTACGACAATTTTGTTGTTAAGTTGAGAAACATTTAGGCGTTCCTCGCGACTTTACCCCCTATCTATGCTATTATTCATCGAATAGAATTCCGAGTGCACGCAAACGGCGGGTTTCGTTTCGTTCATCGCCACCGCCACCTCCTCTCCTCGATGATTTGTCGTCGATTTTCACCGACGTCTACGCCGACGACTGAGGACCGTCGCTCTAACGTAAGTTTATTACCGGCTGCGGAACTTTCCACCCTCAAGAAGGTGAAATTACTTCATAAGCGTAGGGTCGAGCGTATCTGGAAAGGGTACACCGCGGTCGCGTCTCTACAAGTTACCTAATGAATGTCGGGGCAGAAAAGGCAAGGTGGTTGCCGTTCCCTTGTCGGCGCGGAGGGGAGGCGTCTTTCTTCGTCCGCACCTCCTCTAATTTATGCATCTGGAGTGGTAACGAGGCCAACTAAACGAGATGCCTCCAGTGGTGGTTGGACATGGAAGAAAGGGTCGTCGGGTGTTTATCAGAAAAGTTGTACCGTCTCGACAGAGAGGGTTCGACGTAGTATCGTCTTCCTGATTTTGTAATGGCCAAGGTAGCGTCAAAACGGTTCCCAGGAATCACTTGCGTCGTAAGAATGGACGCTAGACGGGGAATAAACTTATCAGAGATTGTTTTATGGTAGGGTTTGTTCGTGAATCTAGCAGTTTCGTCATTTGGGAGCGAACGATGGGGTATTTACCGAGAGTAGAGATTGTTTTGTTGACTGGTGTGGTTAAGACAGGGTATCGTTACTTTGCTTTCAGTAAAAAGTAGTTTAGTTCAATCCAAAGTGTTCCTAAATGATACTCCTGAAATAATGTTCTCTGCAAAGTGTATGCTTTTATGCCCAAGTTGCTTTTAATGAATGAACGAATTAGAATAAAAGCATCGATCAATTTTAATATTAATGATTAAAACTCTGAAGAATATATATATACATTATATTTTATTAAGTTAATTTGTTATATTTGTAATTGATACGAGGGTAATGTTTGATGCCAAATGGGATTTCGGCAGATTTAATTATTAGCCGCGATGTCGGTAATTTATTTGCTGTTGGCATAGATCTATGTATACTTATTATGTATGTTATTACGTGGCAGCACGTAATATGATGAATATGAAGCATTACGGAGATGAATGTGAAATATTCGCGCCAGGCTGGTTATGAGAGGTCGTAAAAAAATGTGTAATGAATGACTTTGTGTTACATGGAGCAAGAAAAATATTTGTTCCCACCATTGTGTTCCAAAATAAAATAATTTCCATACCAGCCAATAATATACCATGGGATAATTTCCATACCAGAACTGTAAGAAAAAAACTTTCGATATTTTCAACTTACATCGCAGCTACATTTCAAAGTGATTCATTCTTGTTATAAAAATTACTTCATTTAACTAATCGCCTACTCTAATCATATTAAACAACATGACATAGCAAACGGGATTTGAAGTTCTTAATTATTCTTTTCATGAAAGAAGTATACATCACGAACCGTATCGTAAATCTGCTTAATTAGAAGTACTACTAAAAAATTTATATTAATTTTAAACAAATTATTGCAATGATTAAAAGAGGATACTATATTCGTAATAAGATTATGTATTGCAACTCGTCCCCTCTTCTAATAATGTACAATATCAAGTCTATCTTTGCACAAGTCAATTTACATAGAAAAGTATACACCAATAGTGGAAGTGGCACGTAATTGTGTTAATTAAAATAGCATTTACTGCGATCAGAGGAATTGGTAAACGAGTATAAATAATGATACGACAGTATTTCGAATTGTCCCCTGTTAATGTGTACTGCTTTATTGAATTTATGTCGTTGAATATTTCATAAAGCAATTTTGGGTAACACGGTACGCACGATCAAGGAAATATTCCATAAAAGCCGGAATTATTTTTTAACTGTTGCAAATATTTTCCATTTACACAGAGCTGTTATTTAATATTCCGTTTACCGTGCTGGATAAGCATATCTCCCAGAGAAATGACCCGAATACTCAGAGTACGCGTGTGAGCGAAATATTTCGCGAATTTTTATACTTAGAGCACTTATTGGCAAAAAAGTTTGCATCCTTTATGCAAATTAATGCAACAAGCCAGCGCATTCGCGGCTGTGAAAGCTCTCCTGTAATTTTTGTATCCAGGCCAACGGAATCATTCAATCCGGCACGGCATAAATAACATCGCCGATGCTAAATGCAAACCCAGCTTTCGGAAGTTTAGTTCTGGAATTACCTTTCCCTCTGTCCCTGTTCTTCTTAGACTTTGAATGAGTTTTAATGATACACCAGGGGGGGGGGTGAGCATCCCTCGCGTCGTTAATCTAGAAAATTTCACCCGTAATTGTGGGAATCACGAAGATGCCTGCGATATCATTAAACCTCTCTGCTTTTCCAATATCTCGGATTCTCTCAGATTAATCTTTCAGTCGACGTAAAAGGGTTCGGTATATC